GTTAATAAGAATTCAATGAACACTTTATTGATCTTATAGATTATAAAAATATGGAATTATAGCTTTACTGTAGCTTAACTTTTTTTATTTAAATATATTTCTTTTTTTTTATGAAAGAAGTCACATTATTTCAGTTTATCTGATAATTACAGGGCTAGAAGGAGTAAAGTCCCAGTCACCCTATTTTGCTGTTACACTCTTAATTAAGCTTTTTTAAGAAACCAGGCAGTGACTTCTTATTTGTATTATATTCAGGATAAAAGTGGATTCCATGGTCAGTGCCAATTCATCTTTCAGGCCTTTAATGCCTTATCAACAATTTATCCACTAACCTCTTGATCAAAAATCCCTAAGAGGGATTTCGTGAGCAATGAAGTCACCAAAGCCTAGTTTGTGACAATACTGATTCTCCTGAAGCAGAAATTCATTTTATTTCAAATTATAGTTGGACTAGTATATCTCTGATGCACATTAATCATAATAACTATTTTAATTATTTTCTAATGCAGTTGGGGTAAAGTAGGGGGAATAGAGCTGTATTTGTTTTGTTTTGTTTTGTTTGGGATTTCACATCTCTAATCTTTGTGGCAATGCAAAGTAAATTTCACTGCCTTGAATGTATTTTAGCAGTGTATGGAGATTACTTATTCCAATTTGGGCAGATAGCTTACCACAGAGAAGGACTTCTTATCCAATGCACCAAGGCACAATAAGTTACAGGCCTGTGAGATACTGCTTTATCCTGTCCTCGGGGTGGCCTGATAGGACCTGGGAGAAATGGGAACTCCCACGCCTGTCAACAGCCACAAAAATCCTTAACCATTTATTCCAGCTTGCCTACAAATGTTATTTTGAAGTGTTATATCATGAAAAAAGCCAGAAAGCAATGCTACCAAGTACAGAAAAGGTTTGTCCCACTTTGCACAATGAATATACTCATATATCTGTATCTATTTGCTAGTTATCTTTCAAATATGAGATAAATAGTTGATATTTGAAAGATATACCCTTAGACTAAGAGTCTTCAAATTTGTGAGTATCACTATAGCAAGTGATTTTCCTTAATAAAATGCAATCAAGCATAAGTGAAAAATTAAGCAGTCACTTACTGAGTCAATAAATGGAGGATTGAAGATAGTTTTATAGCTATTAAAATAAATTCTAGCTGATTCATCCAATAAAACCGTATCATAAATCTCCATACACACACACCCCATTTTCATATAGAGCTAATCTGAATCAGGCACAAATGGAGCATTTCACACTTTAATTTATCCAGGGCCTTTCTCTTTCCTGGCTAATATCCTAATATAATTTTCTCAAATTAATTTTTCATTGCTGTTGCCAGAATTAACAGTTGACTCTCTTTTTCATAACTTTTGTTCATGTAGAAACGGTTTTTACCACTGCATAAATTATTACGTATATGAGGACTACTAGGAAGCGATGTTGACATGCAGGTGGTGGGTAGTAAGCAAGTCCATGTCAAGATGATTGATGTCTGCACGTCATTCTGGTGAAATTCAAAACTACGCCTCAACAAACTGAATGCGTCATGGTTCTCCAGACATGCTTAAAAAAATGCCAAGGTTAAATCTTCCAACGTAAAACATCTACCGTACTGAATTTTCTGTAAGGGTAACATTTTTCCTCACCTACAAATGAAAGCAGAAATACAATCTATTTTATTGCCTAGAGATTCAGCTGTTGAATCTATGGGAAAAAAGCTATGATTGTAACAAGAAATTAAAAATTGTGCTTTATTATATGTGCTACTGAATCCACTAATGGGGCAATCGAATAAAGTGTTCTCCAGGGGTGAAATGGAAGAACATTCCATATGCCAATCTATTTATCTCCTCAGCCCACCTCTGATCATACACCACCCTTTTCTGTCTGCAGACTTGGTTTGTGTACAGGTTGAATTACCTTCTATTTTGTTATATCTTTGCGCTGGCAGGAGGCAGTACTCTTTCTCAACAACTGGGCTGTTATTAGCCATCTCCCCTTTAACACCGACCCTTTAGACACAATACAAAAGGCAGTTTTTAACTGATCTTATTGTTTCTAGAAGAAAAAACATCTACATGGGTTGTATCTACATTACTAAGAAAGGTGTGCCTCTTTTATACCTAGGAAAACAAACTGCCAAAAGATTTCATATTACTGCTTACTTGATGCATTTTCAAAAAAAATTGTCAAACCAGTAATAATAATAAGGCTTATACCTAAGCAGTACATCTTCAGTAAAAAGATGTCCATCCATTTATAATTTCAGGAAATCTTTATCTTCTGATTTATGTTCAACCGTCAATAGTTTTCACTATTTAGGGTTTCTGTACCACCAATATACTCCCACTCCTACTAAAGTAAGCTAAAGCAGTTAATGATTTGTTAAACATTTGTATGCCTGATATCCATCAAAGAGGTTAAAAAGTATTTCTAACCTCCAAAACCCTGTTTGATAAATGTTGCTTTCATTTTCAGTTACTATTAACAAGCAAGGCACAGCAAAATGTATGTGTTCAAAGGCAGAGTCCCTATACCTAACAGTCATAATAGCTACTATTCATGATTTAAGCAGTGAATTGGCAATTTTACAAGCACTGGTGGTCAGCTTTCTAATAAACCTCTCAGGTAGGCATTGCTTTCCTAATTTACTAGATAAGCTAACTGAAGATTTAGAAACCTTGATAATATAAGACCAGGAGATTCAATCTCAGAATAGAGCAAAACTTGGAACCCAGGTAAATTTGGATCCAGAGCCTGTGGTCCTTTTTCATACCACCTTTGCTCAATTGCCCATTTTGTAGCATTTTCGAAGGCAAGAAATTGTATCTTTCAGAGATTCACATGTCTCATTTATGACAACTTCCAGAAAAGAACAACTTGATCTTCCTTTTTCTGTCTCTGGTGCTCCTCACAAAACTAATTAGGGTTTTGCCAAACAGATTGTGTGTTGGCAGTACTAAACGCAAGAGTAGTTCTTTGTCCTGAACAAGAGCACTGGTTCTTACAACCTAAATGGGTTTTGATTTGTTTCACCTCAGGTCATATTGCCAGTGCATCCTTGCCCCTTGTGTAGTAAGAGCAAAGATGGAACTACTCTCTCATGTAACTCACTAAAATGAATCAATGTAGAACAACTCAGTTCTTCCATCTTCCAAACAATGATCCCCAAATCTGGTACTGTTCACTGTAGATAAACAGTATTAGAACAGAAGAAAAGGACTCCAACAAGTCCGGACCTTCCTACTCTTCCTCTTCCATTTGTTAATTTTGGACACAGAGCACCTAATGAGTACGTGCCGTATGCTAAGTGCTATGGGTGATAAGTACAGCAGAAAGAAGAATAAATAAAGGTCAAAACTCGTTTAGAAAAAGGGCTATGCAAGCCAGAATCAATTCCTGCCCCGTGCCTGTATTAGTTCACTAGGGCTACCATAACAAAATAGCATAGACTGGGTCGCAGATGGGTGCCTTCTCTTTGTGTGCTCACATGGCCTTTTCTTTGTTCATGCCATTCCTGGTGTCTCTTTTAAGGACATTAGTCTTATTGGATTAGGGCTCAACCCTTATGACTTCATTAAAGAGTAATTACTTTTTCAAAGGCCCTTTCTCCAAATACAGTGACATTGGGGTTAGGGCTTCAGCATATGAATTTGGGGGAACACAGTCCAGTTCATAACAATACCCACTACATAAATGGCTATAACGTGCAGCAGAAAGAAGTCAAAGAGAATCCAATACCACATGCATGGTAGGTAGGTGCATGGATGCTTTAGCCAGAGGTTCAAATCCCAAGTCTGCCATTCCTAACTGTGTTGACAATGGTCAAGTTTCCTAACTTCAGTGCCTCATTGCTCATCCTGTAAAACAGGGACAGTAAGAATAGCTACCTCCTAGGGTTATGGTTAACCAATTTGTACCTGTCGAGTTAGTAAACTAAAATAAGAGTTGGCTATTAGTGGCAGCTGAGTGGTTTCAAAGACAGTATCACTCCTCTTTCTCCTCTAGATATAACACTACAGGAATTGTGAGAATAAAAATGGAAGAGAAAAGATGGAGGAAATCAAGTACTTGAAGAGGTGGTAACATATACCAATTGTTCTTAATTATAATTACTTTATATAATAGTACTTGGAGAGATAGACCCAACACAGAGAAAGACGCTTTATATTCCTAAATATGGAATTCCAGTCATTCTTTCAACACATCTTTGTTGAGCATTTATTACCTGTCAGGAATTGTTGCAGGCATTTTGAAGACAGGAGTGAACAAATTCGACAGAAACTGCTACCTAGTGAGGTTTGCATTCCAGAATGGCTATATGTCACCTCCACGTTTTAACACCTACTTCAAGAAATGGGGGAGATAAGACACACCACATAGGAAAAAAAAAAAAAGCCATTTATTTACAACATCATACAGCACGTTCACATTAATTTGCTGTAGCGTGGCCAGAATACACACAGGAGCAATACTAACTCTGGGCTTGTTGGATGGGTTTTCCCAAGTGCTGCCCTGACCCCTGAGATGCCGGTCCGGGATTTTACTGACCCCTATGCCAGGCCCCTGGCCGACTTGCCACCCCGCCCTGCCCGGCCGCCCCGTCGGGCCGCGCTGCGCGGCCACTGCCCCTGGCGCCCGTCGCCCGGTCCACGGCGAGCCCGCACCGGCGCCTGTTCCGAAGCAGCTCCGCACACCCGGAGGCGGAGCACCGCGGGTCCTGCGCCTGCCCCACGGCCGGGGTCCCGCAGGTCCCAAGTCCCGGCGCGGTGGTCGCCCTGAGTGCGAGTGGCTTTGGCTTCGGCTGGGTGTCTCCTGGCTCACGTCATCAGTTTGACAGCCTCGCACCAAATGAAAGGGCGGCACTCGGAGCCGCAGATTAGAACTCGCCTCTCCTAGCTCCTCCCCTCAGCCCCATTTAAAGCTCCCACAGGCTTTAAGGGGAAATCAAGAGTGGGCTCAGTTTCTGCAAAACTTTCTTCCGCTGCAAGATGGTAAGTGAAGAACTGGCGTCAGCTACTCCGCGGGCAAACCTGGGGGTTCTGAAAGCTAATAAGGTTTGCACTTGGAATTTATTACAGCGTTGGAGCAGGATTTTTCTGCTACCTGCCAGTTAAAGCAGGTCCTCTCTGCTGCCTTTTTATTATCCTTTACCTTCCTTCTCCTGATGGTTTTCTCTCTCTCTCTCTCTCTCCCTCCCTCCCTCCCTCCCTC